AAATGACCATGAGTAAAACAAACGTAACCCGGCCATAAAGCCATGTCAAAGCAGAAACTTTCAGGTGAGCACTAATTAAGGCCACTAAGAGGCTCTCGAGTCAGACAACTGAAAGGTCCCGCTTAAGCGGTCGTTCCTTTAAATTACGCAGTGAAGTGGATCTACTCGTAAGACATAGGGCTATGTTTGCTACATAGTACACAGATATACGTTAGCGGATACGGTTATTTTCTTATAATTGTACAAAGTTTGATATCCCCTTTTTTGCGTAAAATATTATAGTCCAAGATCACAGGGCCACCAGGCGTCATTTATTTTCTGACTAACGAAATGTGTAAAGTTGAGTAGTGTTAGTATGGACTATGATCGTATGTCTACCTGCTAGCTGCTGACCAGTCGGCCATTTTCCAGGTATTAGGTAATCAAGATACTTAAAATCATTACTCACCTCACATTAATTCTCCGTGCTGAATTTTACCCTTATGTTAGATAATACCATTAAAAATCAGTCATAAATACGCCAAGACACTTTCCGTCAGTAGTATCGCCTTGCAGACGCTTTAAAGTTCTCAAAATTACTGATTTTCACTAACACTTTGAAGCTCCATTTTTGTATATGTTAGCCAGACAAATATTTTAAAATGTTTCACGAGAAGGCAGACCGACCAAGGGTTCCAATTAGATTAGACTCAATTTTGACGGCTCCGTGGCGCAGTGGCTTAGCAATCAGTTGTTGCGCTGGCGGCCGCGGGTTCGAATCCCGCACGGAACAAGTATTTGTATGGCCTACAAATAATTGTTCCGGTTCTGGATGTTTGTCCTTGTGCGATTTATATTTGTAAACTGCCTCCACGACACAGGGAAAAGTCCTAGTGTGGGGGTAACGTTTTTAAAAAATCAGCAAAAAAAAAAATCAGCAAATTTTAATACCTCTGTGTGTATGAGCGCGAGGGCATTATCTACGCGCAAGAGCGTGAGTGAGACATAGTATTAGTACTATACTGATCTCTCTCTCTCTCTCTCTCTGTCTCTCTCTCTCTCTTTCTCTTACTATTTACTCATATCGATTAGTTGTCAAGAGTTAAAAAAATCAGCTAAAAATAAAAAAATCTGCTTCTAAAGCTAAAAAAGTTACTGTAGGCGCCGTGCGCTAGATATTAAGACTAAGTCATTGTACGTAGTAATAGTGCTAAGATAGAAGTATTTATGGTGGTTCTTCTGGTGCAGGCGAGGAGGATAGTGTTACTGAGAGGCTGCTCTGTGTTACACCGAGATGTGTAGTGTTGCAGCAAAGGAGTGGAATAAGTTGCCAGCGTCTGTGTTTCCATCCGATCACAATGTGGGTGTCTTCGAGGCAAGAGTGCATAGACTTTTGTTAAGTCATTGCGCTTCACCATCTTAGGCTACATCACCACTTATCATCAGGTCGGATTATAGTAAAACGCTGGCTTAGAATAACATAAAAAATACTATTGGTTTGTATACTTTGTTGTTATCATGTAATTACGTCCCTCACCTTACACTATTGTGTGATTGTAGCGGAGATTTGTTACAGTGTGGTCGAACTATAAATGCCCTATATTGAATGTACAGTGCATAACGCTGTCTTTTTACTGATAATGATTAATCGCACAAGTAAGAAAGCAAGTTGAAAATCCCCTCTCACACTTTTATTACTTTTAAAAATTAACTTTATTCTGATGTATTTCCGATATCAGAAGTGGGATTTTGTCATGAAGTTCCGACAAACTAATAATGGAAGATACACAGTTTTATACGAAGAAGTGCAGCTATACCATAACTTGCAAATGATATTAACGAATGTGACAATATTTAAATGTTTGAAAGTAAGCTTTTTTTAAAGTAAGCTTTAACGGTGGTAGAGCTACGCGGCAGCTTTTGCTGTCGCACGGATGGGCCGGCTCGAACCGGGGTGGTATCACGACCTCACAGAAAACCAGCGTGAAGTAGCGGTATACCTCTGCGTTTCGCTTGGTGAGTGCAGGTGACCGGAGGCCCTTTTTACTGGAAATGAGGCATTCCATATTAGTCCTCACGGGCGACAACGCATCTACATTTTGATTTGTAATAGAGGATAGATGTAGATGTCTATGGGCCGCAGCAACCACTTACCATCAGGTTGACTCTGTGCTCGTTTGTCACCCTTATCCTTTAAAAAAAAGCTTTAAATGTCTTTGCACATTACTCTCTTTATTAACTAAAAATCAAATCGAATAATAGCAATCTGTGATTTAAAACCTAAAGAGTCGCTCTGACAAAAATTTAAGGAAATCGATATACTATATTAACTTTGGCCTCTCAATACATTTATGAAAATATTATTCATAAACGAAAATACAGTTAGTTTAAAAAATAGGTGATATTCATTCTGAAAATAGTAGGAACAGTGATACGTTTGTGACTGCAATGAAACAACCGCTGTCTTGTAACACTCATTTATTACTGATTGGATGACCGTACTACACACGTATATATCATTCCTCCCCACTTAATTTTGGAACCTGGTAACAAGATTTCTTAATTAAATACAGTAAATTTTTTTTTTTTACATAAACTTAACAACTAATAATAACTATTAACAATAATTAGCAAACTTGATCTCTGCGTAACTATAATTAACAATCGCTACTTAAAAATACTTTTTATAATCCACCGTTGGTCTTGTACGTTTCGGGCGTGTGTCTAAAAGTGGCAATGTTGGCGGTACATGGGAATCGCCAACTGTGGACGGCACAGCCTCCGTTTCTGCCATAGGCCTTTCTACGGGGGCAATGTCGTCCCTCTCATACTCCCTAGTCTCACATTCACTTACTTCTTCTGCCTCACCGTGGTCAGTTGAGCCAAGATTCGGCGCTCCAGTATTCGAGGGCGATTGCAGCTCACCCGTCTGCATATTCGTAGCCTGTTCCATACTTTGCTCCGTATTACTTATACCCGGAAACATAGGCTGTTGCGCGGGAGGGTGTGCATTTACCGTAGCCGGCGACGTGGAGGGGTAACGAGTCTCCTCAGCAGCGACAATATCGTCGCGACTACTGTCTGAACCCGTATATCTAATAATTTGATCCACATGTCTAATACACCAAACCTCCATGTCCCTAATATGAATTCTATACATTTTATTTCCTATTTTTTCCTTTATTCTACCTAACTGCCAAGATTCTTTTCGTGCACTGTACCATCGGGTCCAAACGATATCACCGATTTCAAAAGATCTTTTCCCTGCTGCCGTAAGTGAATTAGAATTATGATTTTTTAAGGGTAAAATCAAATCAAGACGCGACCGCAAATTTCTGCCGAACATTAACTTTGCCGGCGTTTCACCCGTGGTACAATGCACGGTATTTCTATAGTTAAATAGGTACCCTAATAACATGTCATGAACTTTGTGCAACGGTAAATTGTCAATTAATATACATTTTAACATTTTTTTACATGTTCTTACTGAATTCTCAGCTTGACCGTTACTTGGCGGATGGTAAATGGGTGACGTCATGTATTTTATGCCATTCGATGAACAAAATGTCTGAAACTCGAGTGAATTAATTTTTACATCGTTGTCGGACACTAAAACATTTGGTATTCCAAAATTAGAGAAAACGCCTTTTAATTTTGTTATTAAAGCATTAGATGAGGTTCCGTTATGCATGTATAGACATTCTATCCATTTACTGTAGGAGTCGACGATTACCAGATATACCCTCTGCCCTACAGTCATGTAATCAATGTGCACTCGTTGCCATGGCGCGGTGGAGGGAGGCCAGGGCGCGGGGGGGTCGCGCGGCGGGGCGGCCCGCACGCTTGCGCACGTCGCACATGATCCGATCCAGCGTTCGATGTCCCGGTCAATACCGGGCCACCACATTCTACTTCTAGCGTTACATTTAGTTTTGGTTATTCCTAAATGAGAGTCATGAAGCTCGCGTAACATTCTATCTCTCAACCCGAGTGGTATAACAATCCTATGTCCCCTAAAAAGACAACCATTCTCATATTGTAAATCGAACTTGCAATGAAAATAAGGTAAAATAGATTTACATTTTAATTTACGCGGCCACCCGTGTTGCATGTACCTTAGCACGGTTTTAATCGTCCTATCTCGCTCCGTCGTCTGCGCAACGTCGCGGGCCGAAGTGGCCGGCGATGACGCATCGAGAAACCTAACTGCATAATGAGTGTCTATATCGTTTGTATCTATATCGTTCGACGACTCGCATTTTACAGGAGCGCGAGAGAAATAATCGGCCACAATATTATTTCCGCTAGATACATATTGTACGACATAGTTATAAGCGGACAATATAACTGAGTATCGCTGCAGTCTTAGCGCAGTAGTAACAGGAATACCTGTTTTAGGATTAAAAATTGATACCAATGGTCTGTGGTCGGTTTTCAGGATAAAAGGATCTTCGCGACCGTACAAATATTGATGAAAGCGTCGGACCCCGAAAATAATGGCCGTCGCTTCCTTCTGTATCTGGCTATAGTTTCTTTCACTGCTCGTAAGTGAGCGAGATGCATACGCTAGCGGGCGTTCGATGCCGTCCTCCGCCCTTTGTGAGAGTACGGCGCCGAGACCGGTCGGGCCGGCGTCCACCGCCAGCACCAGCTGCGCCGCTGGCTCGAAATGAGCCAACACGCGTTCTGACGCCAGTTCGCGCCGTATCGCTGCGACGCTTTGTCGCTGCCGTTTTCCCCATTCCCATTTTGCATCTTTACGTAATAGCTCATGTAGAGGACTCAGTACAGAAGAGGCGTTTGGAATAAAATTTCTATAGTAGTTGACTACTCCTAGAAATCTTTTAACTTCGGTGACGTTATTTGGTTCCGGTGCACTAAGAATGGCTCGTACTTTATCCGGACAAGTCCTTAATCCCGTTTTACTAATCACGTAACCCAAATACCTGACGCTTTCTCTGAAAAATTGACATTTGTCTTTTTGTAAACGTAGGCCTGCCTTACATAGTCTATCTAGGACTTTACTGCTGCATGTGGGAATTTCTATCGAGGCCCGTGACACAAATGTCATCAAGCCATATGCTTACCCCGTCTATTCCTGATAAGAGTGTCTCCATGCTCCTTTGAAAAATGGCTGGACCACTAGAAAGGCCGTACACTAACCTAGTGTATTTAAAAAGTCCTTTATGCGTATTAATTGCCGTGAGCTCCTGAGACGCGTCATCTAGGACGAACTGGTTGTAAGCGTTTTTCAAATCAATTTTACTATAGTGCTCACCCCCTCCAATTTTGGCAAAAACCTCTTCAATTCGAGGCAGGGGATATTTTTCTATTATGAGATCCTTATTTAATGTAATAGAAAAATCACCTGCGATTTTAACTTGGTCATTATCTTTTAAAACTGGCACAATGGGGGTGGCGTATTGAGAATAATTAATAGGAACAAGGATACCCAAGTGCACTAATCGGTTTAGCTCTTGTTCGACTTTATCTCTGAGGGCAAAGGGTACAGTACGCGGCTTAAAAAACTTAGGCACAGCATTCGCCTTCAACTGCAAACTGACTTTAAAGTTATTAAATGCGCCCAACTCGTCACGCCACAACGCCGAATATTTATTTAATAACTCATGCAATTCGGAATCATTTCTTATGTAATTTAATTTAGTAGTAATCACAAAATTAAAGGCGGTCATGAAATCCCTACCTAGTATAGGCGGTCCCCCATTTTTGACAACAAAATATTTAATCAATTTGGTACTGTTATTGTAACTGGTTTCTACAGTAATATAACCTAATGGATCAATCTTGTGTCCGTTGTATAAGCACATTTTTACAGAACTACTACGTAATGAATATTTTAAGAATTTTTCCTTATATGTATTATAAGAAATCACACTTTTACTTGATCCTGAATCCAGCTCCATTGTCATACACTGATTACCTATTATTACATCAATTGAAATGGGCTTATCAGTCACATACCTCAAATTAAAATTGTAGCACTCCTCACAAGACGAATCCTTGACCTGCTCTGGTTCGCTTACCGACTCGATATGGTACATCCGCGATCTATTGACACTATCGCACACTTTCTTTAAATGACCTTTTTCACCGCACTTTTGACATTTGTAACTTTTATAACGGCACTTATCACTTTGGTGGTTCTTCAAGCCACAAACCGAACAACGAGAAAAATCTCTCGGTTGGCCGCGACCTGCTGATGTCCTGTCAGCGTTAGGACGCCGTATAACCGCGCCGCTGTCTCCTTGACCTTGAAATTTCGCTCGGTATTCCGGTTCCTCCTTAATTGGAGCATGTTCGCTGGTGCACAACATAACCTTCGCCTGCCTGGCATACGCCGCCTGCTCGGCTAGCTCCATAGCTACTGACAGTGTCAATGTGGACGGGTCTTGTTCGAACAACTTATCTTGTTCCGGGCCAGGGCCCAGGCCGAGGACGAAACGATCTCTTAAATTCGTTTCCAAGGCAGTGCCGAAGTCACAATTGCTTGCGAGACCTCTCAATCGCGCTGCCCAGTCTCCCAATGATTCGCCTGGATTTCTGGTTGCCCCAAAAAATTTTTCTTTATCCACAAATGAGCATTTTTTTGGCTTGAAATGACCGTCGAGTAATTTAGCGAGATTCGAGTAACTTAGAGATTCTAAGTCTTGCGGGTACGCTAAGTTTCGTACCAAGCGATACGTTTCATCCGTAAGATGGGTGAGAAGGATTCCACTTTTGTTCACTTCTTCGACGCGATTTATCTTCGCAAACTGAGTTAGTCTACTATTGAAAATTGACCATTCACTTGACTTATGGTCAAAAATAGGCAGATTTCCCAGATAAGCCATTTTTATTTTTATTGTGGGTACTCCTACTTCGTCGCCAATGATACGTTTGTGACTGCAATGAAACAACCGCTGTCTTGTAACACTCGTTTATTACTGATTGGATGACTGTACTACACACGTATATATCAAACAGACACAAATTAGTAGTACCAGTTACTCGATTCCAACGAGTCAGTAATTATTTCTTGGGGCAATGTATAGCCTTTTACAACTAAATCCCGGAAAACATACAAAACATGACCTGCTCACAGTTCAAACACTGTATTGAACTAAGTTTGTATAAAAACGTTTAGTATAATATAAAGGAATTTATGCATGATAATTATCCCTGAGAATGAGATGATCGCTGTTAAGCTATATCTAATTTGTTTTGTGTTGTTAATTGTGTAACATTGGTTAAAACCAATCTTACCAGCCGCGAACATAGACGCAAAGTAGCCAGCCTTTCAGTTTTCTACAGGATGCATTTCGGAGAGTGTGCGCAGGAATTGCATAATTTAATTCCTCTCTCTCCCTTTCACCATCGGACAACCAGACGTTCGGCCAGTCTCCACCCTTTCGTTGTTGACTTACCACGCATTCGAACCAAACAGTACGCTACGTCGTTCATCATGCGTACAGCAAAGGAGTGGAATAAGTTACCGGCATCTTTCTTTCCATCTGATTACATTGTGTGTGCTTTAAGGCAAGAGTGAATAGGTTTTTGTAAAGTCAGTGCTTCACCATCTTATGCTACATCACCACTAACCATCAGGTGGGATCGTAGATAAGCGCTGGCTTAGTAGAATATAAAAAAAAACATACATGATTGTACCTACGTTGTTATTTTTTTTAAAGTCCCGCTGGGTTCTTTGCTGGTTCTTCCCAGGACAGAGGTTTTTTTTTCCGAACCAGTGGTAATTAAACATAATAGTGACTTAAGTACTACTATAAGTAATATTTATAATCTACATTTAATTAAAAAGTTATTGTTCTGTTTCTGTTTCAGTTTCAAAAATGTTATTTAGTTGTATATAATAATATGAACAGTATATATTATAATATATTATATGTAATTTACTGTTTATTGCATTCTAAGTGACACTCTGTTTCTTATGAGAAATACATTATTTAAACCTATAAATGCTCAAGTCTTAACATTCAAAAACTAATTAAAATCGAACCTCACAACTTTCTACTGCTAGAATACACCCTACATATCTTATGTTTTTTATTTGAAAAAACGATACTATTTACTATGATAGAACTAAGTTTTATTTTATTCGTGTTAAATATATTATGGTTGTAACATGAACGGGTCGGCTTAGGGTAGGACCACGCTCTCACCGAATAGCATACTAACAATAGTTTAATGATGTTGTGCTTCTTATGGTGAGCGTAGAGAACAGGAGACCCTTTTAACTGGAAAGGAGGCATTCCATCTTAGTCCTCAGGGGTGACAATTCATCTTCATTTTCATTCTTGCAAAGCGAAGATAAATGTAGATGTCTATGGGCTACAGCATATACTTTCCATCAGGTGAACTGTGTGCACGCTTGTCACCCATATTCTATAAAAAATATGACAGATAGTCCGGGTGCAGCCCATTTAATTTTATTTGGACCAACACTCTACTTAAAACGAGCTCGTTTAACGGTTCTTTGGTTACATTAATGTACTTTTGCGATTTCAACAAAAATAAATTAGGTGTAACGAAGGGTTTCTTAGAATTACGATAACTACTTTCATACAAAGATCACTTAAGAAAAAATAAAAAAAAACATTATACAGGATTGCTAATAGAACTATATACGAGTACATTGTATTAGATTAAAACATTAAAGTATAATATATAAGTACTGTATATTTAATTCATATAATTAAAGTTACATATATATTAAGATATATAGTTAACATAACAACAAGATGTCATAGGTTTATATATTACTATATTATATAATTGTGTATTATTGTGTCCAATATTAGGTTTAGGTTTAAGGACATTTATTCTAATAAAGACATTATATACGCCACTTACATGAGAACACAAATAAAAGTAAATCTAAATAACAAAATTCGTTGTCGTAACTATGTTGTTGAAAAATCAACATCAAAAACAGCTATCGACAAGAAAATCTATAAAAATAAGGAAAAGTTATAAAATGGCAACAGTCACTCACAAATTCTGGGATTCACAATCATATTAGCACCATAGCACAACTATGACCAGGAACAAACCTGTCCAATATGTTATGATTTGCTAGTCGCTTTTTGAATACATTGAACGAGTCTACATTTTTTATTTCAGAGGGTATCTTATTAAAAAGGCCTTCCCATGTAACTACTTTATAACTTTTCTCTTTTCTTTAATACTTTTTGGGCTTTCCACTGTATTTATCGAATTCCTTCTTATAATATGACTTATTTGTTTCCCGGATCAACTTGGTAATTTTATGTTTTTTGGTGATATACTTTTCTCTCAGGTCTTCTTTTTCTGGGTTATTCTGTAGTTCTGTCCACATCAGGTTTCTTTCATTGATCTCTGTTATAATACTTTTGCTTATCCACTCTTTTTGTAGTTCATTCATAATTTTGGTCTTTATCACTTTGCTTTCTTCCATACATTTTTTTATTAGTTTTTCCAGTCTTGTAAAGTCATTGTTGGATTCTTGTATTCCTGCTTTCTCCATTGATTTACGAAGTTCTTTGTAATTTATGGATTCGTATTGATTAGTAGTACGTAAGGTGATTCATTGTTATGTAAAAGAGTGACACTCGCCATGAAACGTAAAAATTTGGTGAGTTTATAATTAAGTAACACCACTGTGTTATAAATTCATTTAATAAATAAATAAAAAAAAAACACAATTAAACCTACATGTTACAGTCAGAATTGTTTCCCGGTCAGACGAAAGCAGCTAAACGAACTTTGTTATTGGCAAAATCACATCGACATCGACAAACTAGTATTTCTTAGGCTTAACTAGTTTTTCCTAAGCCCGACAATATCAAATAGATTTCGGCGCCTTTGGGATGGCCCGTTAGGAACTGTTGTTGAGTAGCGAAACAAACTTTTTTCTAGTCTCGAATTGGAGGCGACTAAATCTAGTCCACTTCAAACCCTGAAAAGAGCTAATAACCCTTTGTCAGGTCTCCACAAATTTTCCCTTCAAGGCCTCAGCCAATATAGATATCGGGTGTTTTTTTAAGCCCGATAGAACTTGAAATTGTAAAAAATAACACAAAAAATTAAATTGTAATCAAAATTTTTTTTTTATTCGAAAGATCAATACGTGACATTAACATTTGAAAATGATTTCGGGCATATGGGCACCGCGGCTGTTCTTGACGAAGCGCATTCTGCACGTCCATTTTGGGCCACTTTTTCGAGCACTGCTGGCCGTATGTCACGAATAACACGAACAATGCTGGCCTCCAAGGCGTCAATTGTTGCTGGTTTATCAGCATAAACCAGTGACTTTACGTAGCCCCACAGGAAATAATCGAGAGGTATCAAATCGCACGACCTTGGAGGCCAATTGACAGGTCCATTTCTCGAAATCAACTTATCGCCAAATTTTGATTTCAATAAGTCGATGGTTGCGTTCGCCGTATGGCACGTAGCGCCATCCTGTTGAAACCACATCTCCTCCGGATCAATGTCATCCATATTTTCAAACAAAAAATCATTGATCATGGTGCGGTAACGATCTCCATTGACCGTAACGCGAGCTCCGGCCTCATTTTTGAAGAAATAAGGTCCGATGATGCCACCAGCGTGAAAACCGCACCAAACGGTGCATTTTTCTGGATGTAATGGAGTCTGTAGGGTCTCTTGTGGATTGGTCTCGCTCCATATGCGGCAATTTTGCTTATTAACAAACCCGTTAAGCCAAAAATGCGCCTCATCGCTGAACACAATTTTGCGATAAAACAACGGGTCAGTTGCCAACTGCTCTAGAGCCCAATCGGCGAAAGAACGACGCATATAATGGTCTCGTGGCTTCAATTCCTGCACCAGCTGGATCTTATACGGGTGTAGGCCGAGATCTTTGCGCAAAATTTTCCACGTAGTGGACGGACAGAGCCCCAATTCCTGCGACCGACGACGAATCGATAAATTTGGATCTTCTTCCACACTTTCGTTTACAGCGGCGATATTCTCTTCAGTACGCACATTCCTTCGACGTGTTGGTGTTATTGCATCCTCTAGAGAGTATGTGGTACGAAATCTATCCACAGTTCGACGAATGGCTTGTTCAGATGGACGATTATGTACGCCATAAAAATGACGAAGTCGTCTATAAGTTGCGCGAATCGACGATTGATTTTCAAAGTAAATTTGGATAATTTCGTAGCGTTGTTCAAGCGTGAGTCTATTCATGATGATTTGTCAGAGTATACTGAAACGATAAAAAAAATATTTCATCAAAATTTAATTTTTTGTGTTACTTTTTACAATTTAAAGTTCTATCTAGCTTAAAAAAACACCCGTTATACTCGGTGGCGATAATATATCGAATGATGTGCTTGTTCGCAGACACTAGGAAGGGAAGGACCATTATTTCACTCTGGCACATTTCAGCTCTAAACTCTTTTATCAGGGTGTAGGGACACAGTAGTTGCATACATTTGGCTGATTGGACATTTTACTATTGTATCCGGAGGCGTTCAGCGGCGAACGCCAGTCGTTCCCCGTCACTGTCCACGCTAGGCCGTTGCCAACTAGAAAATATTATTAACGTGTAAAATTGTGATTTCGTAATACAAATATCAGTGACTTTGAGACTTTATTTATTGCACCCAATAGGCACCTTTAGCACCTTCTGTGATTCATATGACGATGTTATCAAGCATAAGTAACAGATACATAATTAGCCAATAACACGCGCATATACCACACCGAATTTTATACCGAATGAATAGGGGTTTTATTATTTTTTTCTTTTCTTCCTACTGTCTCTACAAAAAATATTCGTGTACAATTTTCCTCTACATAAATCAAACGATATTTTATTTTTAAAATTTTAATCCAAAATATCAATTTCTCCTTTATCGTGGAACCATTTTACGTACATAAATTGCACAAGAACAAACATCGCGACCCGGAACAATTATTTATGGGCCATACAAACACTTGTTCCGTGCGGCATTGGAACACGCGGCCCTAGTTGGGGTAAATTCAAAGCTTAACCAATGCGCAACGGAGCCGTCAATATATGTTTCTTTTTATGAAAGAGGAGGCAAACAAGCATGCGTCTCACCTGATGACGAGTGATCACCGTGGTCCAGGAAATGTGTTAAGAAATATTCAATTATCAAATGTTGGAATGATGTAGATGAAGAAAGGTGCCACGTGTTTATTATATTTCTGTACTAATTTTACAAAATTAAACGTGCTCATGATCAACTTCATTTCTGGAAAGTTAGAGCTCAAATGCCGTTGCAAGCAACTGCAAATATTTCATCCGAACCGCTTGCGAACTGCCAGAACTAATTAGCAATGTAATTCCCATTTATAGTACGTGCACGCGAACTGAGCACCTGCGCTCTTTGTCTGACAAATAAGATATAACATTTTAAGCTCATATATTGTCATAGAAACAATTAAGTTAAATATGACAAAAATGTATGGGCGAGATTTTTGTCTGGACAGTTACGCTAAACACAGACACACACACATACACTGAAATGTGAACGTGGTTGACTTTTTTAGTAAAGAAGTTACAGAATATAATAAAAAAAAAGAATAGTGAAATCTAGGAACATTTTGACACTTCTTTTAGCAGTGTGAGTGACTTTTGATAACTTTGACAAGCAAAAGCGCCAAAAATATAATTTAGACATTGGCATGCTAGATGACGTGCAGACGATATTGTTTTGCAACATAAATACCATTATTCGTAGGTAGATATTATGCAACAATGCCACACTTCCTAATCTTGAACTACATGCACTACGTTAAAAGAAGAAAAAGCGTTGAACTTCGTTCGCTTGTTTGACTGTAATAAAATACATTCCGAAATAATTCTCGATTGCCACGGGATAGGATTTGCGCGCGTAATAAATTAAATTATATGTTATTCCTAATTTAAAGAGCACCTACCGCCCTTCCTATCAACAAATATCCCAGCACCAATACTCACAAAACCACTATACAAGGAAAGACACATCACCGTCGATAACACGACATGTGTTTCGCCTCTAAAGGAGGCATCCTCAAGAGAAATAGATTCTGCGGTGACTTGACCTCAGTTCTTTAATATAATGGATTTCCGCAAACTAACGCCTGATTCTTTTAGTTATTAAAACTGTTAAGGTTCGATTTTTAAACCCTCAGGTACTGAAACAATATAAAAGCTTTTAGAAAAATTTACTTCGCAAATATCCGCGTTATAAAATAAAATGATGTGTCTTACCTAGTATGAAGAACACCTCCCGCCCTCCCTCAATTGCGTGCACTATCCCCGTTACCACTAATCCCGGCACCGCTACTCCCAACACCACTACACTAGGCAACACACCACACCACTGACGATAATACGACACGTGTTTCGCCTCTACACGAGGCATCCTCAGGTGATATAGACTCTACGGTGGTTAACCGGTAAGTGAGCGGCGAGCCAAAACAAGTGCCTTTTATACAGACCGATGATGCAACCGCTCTCTACCTAAGGAGCGAGCGACTGCGTCATGCGATAAAACATGCGACATATCACCGCTGGACATAAGCAGCCGTTTGTAAAATTAAAAACAAACCGCCGCGCAACGCCCACCCTCCAACCACGCAACCAATCACCGATCACCGTGAGGGTGACAAACGACCATATTGCGAGGCTATCTATTATTAGAGAGCAGGCTTGAAGATATTTAAGAGAGGTGAGTTAGTAACATTTGTTTGTTCATTCAGCAATGCAACGGTATTATTATTACTTTTTAATATCTCTAACTGTTCCAGCACACATAGCCGTAGCCCTTTATTACACGTATGTAAGACTTTAAAGTCTTATTTGCGAAGTAAATTTTTCTAAAAGCTTTTATATAATGGATTTCCGCAAAGTAACGCATGATTCTATTAATTATACTGAAATAATATATTTTTCTTAATTAACTATAATCTTATTCATTCCAAACATTGTAATAAATTAATAACAAACCATAGTAATATATGGAAAGGCAAACATATTATGTATGAAATCGCAGACATATGTAAAATTCTCCATGTGCGTATTTTAAAATTAGGAAAATTGTATCTCAAATGAATACTATTGTGAAAATTAACTATATACACCCGCCAGCGGGGGAGTACCTTCCGGCGGAAACCATTAAAAACACTCAGGTAAAATTTATACTTAGAAAAAAATAAAACTTAAAAAAAAGAATAAAAAATTACTTTATTTCAATTTTTTCACTTCTTTATTTTGTCAAGTTATAATTTATTTGAAAATTGTTATCGATTGAAAAATTGCCCCTAAACTAGATTTGTTTTAAATAAAAAAAAACATATAAGTAACGCTGTAATCATTACCAATCTAATGTAAGCTTAAAATGCTTGTGTTAAGAGTGGTTCTTCACATTAGTCGAATGACAGATTCGAACCCACAACTCTGCATTTTTTTAATAGAATAGGGTGAAAAACGAGCATACAGTCCCCCTGATGGTAAATGAATGCTGTGGCCCATAGAGATCTATATTTATGCTTAATTAAGATTTTTTTATTTACTTTACATCTAAAAATGTTAACCACACCCGCAGTTTAAAAACCTAAATTGCACAAGGACAAACATCCAGACCCGGAACAATTATTTCCAGGTCATACAAATAACTTGTTCCGTGCGGTATTTGAACTCGCAGCCCCCAGCGAGCGCAGCAACTAATTGCTAAGCCACTGCGCCACGGAGCCGTAACCTCTCAAGAATCAAAATACAGTTGCGTTATCACCCCTGAGGAATAAGATGAATGCCTCATTTCCAGGGTCACCGGTTCTCTACACTTACCATACGAAACACAGCAGCATTAAGCTACTGTTTTACGCTAGTATTCTGTGAGAGCGAGTCTCGATCTCATTCGAGCCGACCCATGCGTACTGCAACTATAATATAGCTGCAGCACGGCTCTACCACGTTTAACACTCTGTGTTTACAGCCCGCATCCTATCATTAAGCTAATATCGATCAAATTAGTTAAATACAAAATATGAATACATTTTAGACAGTAAATTAAGTAGATTAATTCTTTTTATTCAAATTTACCGGCCGGTTACAGGACGGAGTTATTTTATTAGTCACCCTTGGCTGGTTTGAAGATCGTATCACCAACCAGACGGCTAGACATTTTAAATCTGGCGTAAACGAGATTACCCATTGCGTAGTGGCGCTGTAACAATATCCAAATCCAATATCCCGAGACAAACTTCGAGACTGGCAACATTGGAACATAGGAAGACCTAATAACAACTGAAAATAAAAAAACTGCAGTAAATATCGCCCCATTGACTTAGTACTGGGAGTGGGGTGCTATGATCAGCATTGGACCTTGATAGGTTGTAACGGTACACGAGATGGTCATACGCCATCTGCCTTGGGACTACAAAAACATGGAGATAATGAAATTAGAATTTCCCAATATTCCGATATTGGGAAATTCTAATTTCATTTTCTCCATGTTTGATGTCCTTTTGAACCGATCTCATAAAAGAAACAGGTTCAAAATTCTGGTGTATATGAATTTTTCGGTATGTATGTTACGTGATGTCTTTAAAAATGGTGAATTGATTCTAAAGATTTTTTGTTTTCCCTAAAAAGATTATAATTCTTAGGTATACTAGAACAGACAGATTCGTAGTCTATAAAGAACCAGTCTAATAAATTCCATTCCTAAGGGCAGGCAAAATAAGGCAATGAAATTTTTAAGGTAACTTTAAGACAACTTTTTTTTTGGAGATTACTTATGACATTCCTTAGTACCTTATGTACCTTCTTAACGTTTCTTGAGATTGTGATATTCTTTATTACCTTACTTAGTCCCTTAGTACACTTAGAAAAAGTTTAAAGAACTAAAAATAACAAAATAACTTCCACATAACAGCTTCAGGAGACGGAGCCTTAATTCACTTACACGATATTTTTACTTTAAAAACTTTATCCTATAGTTTTCTACCCGTAGGGTGGATTTCATTATTCAAGTTTAAAAAAGTACCGCTCTTGAAATATAGCTTTGCAATAAAACAAGAATTATATAACTAGGTAATTAATAGAATCAGTTACTTACCGTAAATCCATTATATTAAGGATCGTAAAATAAATATAAAATAATATAAAATTAATTAGATAATATCCGCGTAACAAAATAAAATGATGTGTCTCACCTAGTATGAAGAGCACC